ATGACCGCACAAAAATATGTGTAAATACTATATTAATTTTTTTTTTCACATCTTTTTATTCAATTATTTGATTAGAGAGCTTACATACCCTTTAAATGGTTAAATTAAAAGGCATTTATGGCTCGTCATTTTCAGTTTTGTTCATTTTCTCACTGGAAAAAAATAGATTTTTTAAAAATTGAGTAGTATTTTTACTCAAATGCATTTTTGATGACAGTTCAGAGCCATTTACAGCAAATAGGGTAATCAGGTGATGATTGAGGGACTGCATGTTTCTTGGCTAAAAGCAAATGAAGAGGAAAATGGAAAGGAAACCCAAAAAGCCACTGAGTCACACTGTGTAACACAAAAGCACCTTGTTAAACTACAGAATATGCTGCAAAATTGTATTTGTAGCCAGCGTAGCTCGAGGAATGACAACATCTGTCTGTCAATCAACAACTTTGGTCCAGACAGAGATATCTCAACTATCAGATAAACTGCCAGACATATATGGCCCTTGGAGCATGAATCCTACTGACTTTTCATCCAGGGCCAACATCTCGTCAAAAATTAAATTTGTCTGATACTTTGGTTTATTACCAAATAACAGCAAAACTAATGACATTTATCAGCATCTGCTAATTAGCAAATGTTAGCATGCTAACATGCTAAACTAAGATGGTTAGCATTATTCCTGATGCTTAGCATTGCCATTTGTGAGCATGTTAGCATGCTGACATTAGCGTATAGCTAAAGGCACCACTGCACAGTCTTAGGGTGTATTCCGAATCGCATACTTTTTCTTTTATTTTTAGTAGGTATTGCACCTCCTTTAAAAACAATGTACTCTTGTATGCAGTATGCACACAGTCGGGAAAATACTACTGTCTCATTAGACCCTGAACTTTGATGCTCATATATCCGTTATCTTGGAGATAAAACAAACCGCCATTCACCGAGCTCGTTAGTGACACAGGTAAACCCATCTCAACAATGAGATTCATTGTTATTGGGTGTTATTTTCATAGTTGTGTCCTTTTGTTGTTGCTAAGTTAATCTTTCTGATTATTTTGATCACTTAAACAATTAATAGTCCTATTATTACTACTCAAATGGTCATCAGTCTCTTAAATGTGCTGTCATCATCACTGTGGCAGCTGACAACTGTCCATGAGCTGTCAGCAATCTGTAAAGCTGTGATCTGTTTGCACCTCAGTCAATGTGATGCATCTTCTGCTGTGCAGAGGACTGTGGGTCAGAATAGCCAAAAGCATGCTGGCTTGCATACTGCAAAATGTGGCCGGATGCAGTAGGACATCCTGGTATTTCTGGCATACTATATAATAGGACATAATCTTTTTCTGGCTCACTATATAGTATTGTAGTATGGGTGTTGGAGTGCACAGTTCGTCTTGTTATACCCCTTTGGTTTGTTTATTTCAAACCTGATTCATATCCAGTATTTTTTAACGAAACTACCAAACTGAAATGAAACTGCACTTAAAGGTCTAGTCTGTAGAATTTAGTGCCATCTAGTGGTGAGGCTGCAACATTGCAACCAACTGAAACTGCTCTCGTGAGCCAAGCATGTAGAAGAACTGCGGTGGGTGACACGAAAGATGACTGGCCTTGTCTAGAGCTAGTGTTTGATTTGTCTGTTCCAAGCTACTGTAGAAACAACATCACTGACTCTGCGGAGGAGGACCTGCTCCATATGTAGATATAAATGGCTCATTCTAAGGTGACCAAAACACAACAATTCTTAGTTTCAGGTGATTTCTGCCAATATATCCCCTTAAATCCGACACACTGGACCTTATCCGGCACAACTGACAGTATGTTGTGTAACAGATGTTAGAGTCCAAAAAATGGAGAGACTTCTGGGACAAATATGAAGGTCATGACTCCAGTTTCAGTGACCAACCATCCTCCCCCATCTTTACTCAAACCAAACCTATTTTTAACCTAAAACCTTTATATAACAATTTCTAGTTCAAAAACAAAGAAAAAAACCCAACAACTTATAGTACAAGTCACTGACATCATGTTACAGGACCTACTGCCTCTATCCACCTGTGACTGATAAAGACAAACTATCAGCTTTGCCTATAAAAGGATTTACACAGGATTTTTGCTGAGTTTAAATAGAAGTCACAAGAAAAGGGAGGATCTGAGTGTTTGTGAATGCAGCCTAAACTTGTGGTAACATCGTTCCTGCACCAAAACCAGAACTTCCTTATGAATCTGTGCTGACATGCCGCTCCAACCAGGAGGTGAACGCTATAGTTTGTGGTTTTGTTGGTCTCTGAGGGAGTGGTCCGTACAAGAAGTAGAGTGGGTGTGTGCGTGTGTGTGTGTGTGTGTGTGTGTGTGTGTGTGTGCATGTAAGTTCTGTCACACAGTTGTCAGTGTTCCAGATCTCACCACATTAGTCATACCAGGCATTCCTTCATGTGTTCACCTCACTGTGCGGACACACACTCACACACACACTCTCTCGCTGAAGTTGAGCAGAATTCCTCGTGGTCAGCCAGCATGAACTTGATGTGGGAAATAACTGAGTGAACAGACTTTAGCCATGTCTTCCTCCGCACTTCTGTGTTTTTCTTCTTGTAGCTGTGATTTTACCATCGTGTCCTGTATTATTTACCATCTGAAATCCCGACCCTGTAATCACGGCTCTTTTTGGTGATCTACATGGTGATTTTGGTTCTATGTTTAGGAAGTTTATGAGTGTTGTATTTTAGGGAGCGTGATTATTTTGGACTGTGTTGTGTGAGAAATCAGTTACATAAGGATGCTGAAGTCGTAGTTATAATCAGGCTCAGTCCAGTTATGAAACTTGATACTTGAAGGTGGACAGCAATGAGAAGTATTCAGATCCTTTACTGAAGTGAAACCACAAAGAAATAACAGTGTAAAAACATACTCTTAAAAGTTAAAATCTTGCTTTCAAAGTACGATTTAATTGGGATTGTTTTTGTACAATTTGTAAAACAGAGAATATGATTGTTTTATAGGATATTCGGAAAATTACAAATAAAGTGTTTAAAAAAAAAAAGGATTTAAAAATCATTTTGTTGATTAAAAAATGATTTTAGTGCTTCCACTAAGCACCTATGATAAGAAGTGAGTCCATAGCAACAGTTATTTATTCATAGCAGTGGTCAGCTATTCAGAAATAACAGACCGTAGAATGCTGTAATCGACCAATTTTAATAAAATATATTATATGGAAATGTTAATAATGATACAATATTGTGTTGGCAGCATTATGATGTAGAAGTTTGTTGAGGTGCAGCTAATTTAAACAGCATCTTGCACTGCTGAAGAGTTGAATTAATAACAGCACAACATATTTTATTAAGTTATTTGTTTTCAATAAAAACTCTCCAAAATGCAGCGGGTAGAAGTATATCAAATCTGTTCTACAGTGTAATGTACCTAATTACATTACAAAGATTTGGGACTTTGTCACCTTTAAAATCTGTTGAAGGTCTGTGTAATTTTATCCTAATCATCTCGATTCTAATCTGATTGAGTAACATGCATGTTATAGTGGCTGTTTCAACCTACCACAGTTCCTAGGCCACGTAGATTGTGAGGTGTTTCTGTTCTAATTCGTGTTTCTGTTCCTTTTCTGGGGATCCACAGCTCTCACATGAGGCAGGGAAAAAGTTGAACAGTGTTTACGGCAGGCCAGGTCCTTCCAAAATTACATCTACTGACTTGATGTCCTATTTCTATATATCCTCATGTATACCCATTATTATACTTCAACACTGCTTAATACAGTCAAAACTTACTACAATCCAAACCACTACAAACTTCATGTCGTCTTTACGCACAACATTGTCCACACTCTCCTTTTGTCATGCTCACTAAACTACTTTACAGCACCATACCCTGGTGTGAATAACTAACCTGTAATCGAACACAAAAATAACGTCAGTATAAACATAACCATAGCAGTCCACTACTATACACTATTAAAAGTATACAGAAAATGTTGTATCACAAGCTCTATGACATCCAGAATTCTTTTTACCAAATATAAATATGTGCTTAATTGGCTCTTACACGTGTATTTATAATTAAGGCTCACTGATTTTTAGTTCGGAATAACGTTCGCTGAAAAAACACATACGGCAGATGCTTTAGGAGCACATCTGTTTAAACTTTTTTTTCCTGCAAACTGTGTTTTAAAATGATTTTCTGAATCATGTTTGCAAGTGTTAATATCTAAAATAAATACAGATATATTTCAGACATTCAGGACTTAAAACTTGTAAGTTAACTTGCAGACTTGAGGTTTTATAACTCAACAAATAAATCGACTTAAGGATTCCAACTTTTTGATCATATGTCTGCCTCTCAGGTCAGCCTTCGAGCTTTATTGTCCAAATTATCAGTTGTGTGAGGGTTTTTTTTTTTTATCAGGCAGCGATAAGAGGTACGAATGAGGAGGAACATATCACACACAGAGTACATAAGCACTCTGACATGAATACTATGCACATATGCAAACACACAGGTGGACACACAGACACAGGTATTTGTGCACCTGGCTACTATTGTTTTACACAAAACAAATATTTCAGTTTCACTGTTTTAGTGTCAGAGCGGGGAATGAAAGGCATTTCATTAGCAAACTGCTGCAGCAAATGTTTAATTTGAAGCTTTTTAAGTTCTCCTCAGTCCCACTTAGTGGATCAACAGCGCCCCTATGTGGTGATTTTAGGTAGTCTTCAATTTGAATATTTTGTTGTAAGGAAGGTGTAATTTCTGATCACTGACAACAGCTGATTAGTGATGCAAACAATGTGGCACACTAAAATCCAATAAAACAGTGCGTTGCATTAACACATAGCGATAAAGTCACAGAATGAAAAAACCTTTGGCAGTATTTTTCAACATTTTCTGACATTTTATAGACCAAACCAATTTGAAAATAAGTGGTAGTTGCCACCATAAAATGATGAGTAGGATTTTTACCTCTCCTCTTGGTTCTGTTGTAGCTCTGAGTGGCCCTCGGAGTGACGATGGCAGATTCATCGCACTGTTTCTACTGTCGGGAGGACCTCGGGGGGAAGAGGTTCGTCCGCAATGAAGGCAGGCCTGTGTGCGTCCGCTGCCACACCAAGTTCTGCGCCAACACCTGCACCGAGTGCCATCGACCCATCCCTGTGGAATCAAAGGTGGGTGTGTGTGTGTGTGTGTGTGTGTGTTTGTTATCAGTTTGCAGTAAAGTTGTCTATACATGCATTTCTTATTTTTGACCCTTTTATTTTCCCTCCACGTACCTCACATCAAACTTCCTTTCTCCACCAGGAGCTAAGCCATAAGGGCCGATACTGGCATGAGGAGTGCTTCCGTTGTGCTAAGTGTTACAAGCCTCTGGCCAAGGAGCCCTTCAGCACCAAGGACGACCGTATCATGTGTGGGAAGTGCTGCTCCAGAGAGGACGCTCCACGCTGCCACGGCTGCTATAAAGCCATACTGGCTGGTAAGACCGATGACAATTAGCAAAAAATCACTAGACTGGAGAAATTTTGGGAAGCTGGCCCATTAATAAACTGTAAAAAACAGATTTTTACTGCGCAATATATAATAAACCTGTATTTATTTTAATTTTCCTACTGAGACTTAACTGCAGTGACAGTAATATCAACTCTTCTGTGATCTGCTGCAGGTACAGAGAGTGTGGAGTACAAAGGGAACTCATGGCACGACGAATGTTTCACCTGCTATAACTGTAAACGACCAATAGGATCGCTGAGTTTCCTTTCCAAAGGAAATGACATTTACTGCAGCCCCTGCTATGACAAGAAGTTCGCCAAACACTGCGTCTGCTGCAAAAAGGTAATTCTGTTAAAACAGGAAATCATCATTCTAAAGGCAACAGGAACAACACTATTTACACTTCGCTCTTCCCCAGGCCATAACCTCTGGAGGGGTGAACTACCAGGACGAGCCGTGGCACAGCCACTGTTTCGTGTGCACCTCCTGCTCGAAGCCTCTGGTAGGCATGAGTTTCACCAAGCACCAGGACCAGGTCTTCTGTGTGGACTGCTACAAGAGCTCTGTGGCGAAGAAATGCTGCGGCTGCCAAAACCCCATCACAGGTTGCTTTAAAGTTCAACTGAGATGATGATGTCATGATGTACAGATGAAAGAACAGTGACACACACATAGTGGCTCAAATCTGCACACATTTTTAAAAAATACTGTACTCAAAATTATTTTATGCCAGTCAGAGTTACTAATCTAGTCACGCTCTAGTGTAAGCAATAACCATATATTGAGGTAGGTTCTTGGTCTGGGAGTTTCTTCAAGATAATGTTGTGTCATTCATGAACGAATTGTTCAAAAGAACGAATCTGTTGAGTGAACGTAATGAACTGAATCACTTCCGGAACTGATTCGTTCATTTCTCAGTTCAGTTGAGCTCAGCAGCGAGCGTGCAGGCCGGGAGTGGAACTGCCGATTCAGTCCATGTGAACGGACCGCATCGGTGAACGAATCACTCAGTGAACGACGTAAAACTGATCCCTGAGTGATTCAAATCATTTCTTCTCAGCGATACACTTTCATAGGGACCGTTTTCTCCAAGCTAACAGCTAATGTACCCAGGAGTCAAGCCACATGAACACAATCACACACCTTCCCATTGTTTTAACAGACTTAGTTTCCAGATAAACAAACTTAAAATTCAGGGCAGACGCAGCAGCAGCAGCTCAGCCGTGTATCAGTTCAGTGAGTCGGACTATGCAGTACACAGTCAGGGCTCCTCAGCACTGAACGATTCAGTGAACGAATCCTTTGAACGAATCTTTTTAATGAACTGATTCTAGTGATTCGGTAACATCTAAAGAACTGCTTTGCCCATCACTACTTCAAGACTTCATCTGTGCAGTCTCTAAATTTAGGCCCATCAACAGTTTGAGACTGCAGTTCCCAGAGATCTTTGTTGTGGTCACATGTTCAGGTTAAAGTGTTCTGCACCATGACTTAAGATATGGTGAGAAAGTCCAGTGTCACAATGACCAGAACTGATTTGGAAGGTCTTTGTTAACTTGTAAAGTAAAAATTGGACGTGTTACCCTCAACAAGCAAGCAAGTTTTCTTTTTCTAAGTTGTGACACAAAACACATGACGGGCAAGTTGCAAAAACTGTACCATGCTAATGGCAAATATATATCTATAAAACTTCTCTTTACTTTGTAATTAACAACACACAGTATTCAGGCTGCTAACAAAAACAAAATATTTACCAGTAAATTATGCAAAAACCTAACAAATAGGTGGTCACATGATATTTCCAAAATTGACCATTTGTTTTGCAGATCAAGAGTAGGTTGATGCTTTTCATGTCAAAGAGATGTTTTTGAAGTGAGGTTGTGTGAGGTACTTATCAATAGTCAGTGTACTACCAGCAGTGGATTGTTGTCAGCAAGCTGACAGTTTGGAGAAGCAAACAGGAATACTGACAGGAAAGCTAAGCAATGTACTGCTGTGGATAGGGGTGGCAGCAAAACCAATTTTAGCCACCTAAATAAGTCCCACCTAATGAAAAATAGTCAACAGTTTTTGCCTCGCTGTCAGACAGTCCTTTCCGAATGGGAACTGAAGCTGTTATGTCCGTCTCTGCTTGTTTCAAAGCCGACAGACTCCTTTGAGAACACAGGAGCTGCTGGTCTAATTGCTGCCTTGATTTTGGTGAATCCGATCCAAACGGACCCTTTAAAACACACAGTCACGGTCACACATCAACACAAACTATGTGATTAAAGCAGCACAGACCAGCAGCTCCTGTGTTCTGTGAGGCAAAATTACTATTTTGGTCAAGAGTGTCTGGTGGTTTTGAAGAGAACTTAGCTTCAGTTCCTTTTGGAAACCACTGTCTGACAGCAAGATAAAGCGCTGAAAAGATTCTAAACATAATGTGCCCTTGTACCGATGTTGATTTTTTTCGGTGGGACTTTTTTTAGGAGGCTAAAATACATTATGTTGCTGCCCCCATCCACAGCAGTACATTGCTGAGCTTTTGTGATGGTGCTCCTGTCTGCTTCTCCAAACTGGGGATGTGCTAACAGCCACCTACTGTAGGTAATACACCGACTATACATTAGTACCTCAAACAACCCCACTTAAAATAATCAGAAATATCCCTTTAACGTGATAAAAGGTAATGGTTGGAATAAACTCCAACTCTCCTCTCCTCTCTCAGGTTTTGGTAAAGGAGTGAACGTGGTGAACTACGAGGGCAGCTCCTGGCACGAATACTGCTTCAACTGTAAGAGATGCTCCCTCAGTCTGTCCAACAAGCGCTTCGTAGCCAAGGGGAAAGACATCCTCTGCAGCGACTGCGGCAACAAGTAGAGATGGAGAGCCTGGTCATTGTCTGACAGTGGTTCATACAGTCATTATTGTTTGTTTTATTTTTTCATAAAGGCTAGAGTCCCCATTTCAATATTCTGTTCAAGTGAGTTTTTTGGGAGATGACCCTGTCAGCGATAGAAGCATTGGGACCACAATTAAATTCATGTCTGCTGTTGATTATTTGCTCCGATGCTGTGTGCTAACACTAAAACACACTGTGCTGAGTGATGGTGGCGACGAGCTTTGTCCTGAAAGTTAGAAACGAGATGCTCGAAAGATGAATAGTATGTAGTCGAGTTTAAACAAGGAGCAACTTCTCCTGTTTAAATGGGATGTTTTCATTCTGCACAGTGTGTGTTGAAGTGTCAGCATAAAGCCAGAGGGTGTCGTGTATTTTTATCATCTTCTTTTAGCACAGAAATAACCGCTTATGTTCATGGCTATAACATTTACTTATGTATTTTGAAAGATGTTTTAAAGGCAATATTTTCCTATGACCAAAAACGTTTTAATAATCAAAATTATCTCTATATTTGTACTTGCTACCTGCCGAAGCATTGCTATGCTTATTGTACGTTTTGAGTAAATCAACCTTTATGCACTTTTGTCTCATCTTCCCTCTAACAAAAGAGGAAATTTAAATATCGAATTGGAAGATATGCAAACTGTATGCCTTGATGTGTTGCCAAATGAAATAAACTTTCTACAAAACTGAACTTTATACTTATTTTGACTGATTTAACATTGATTTTTAAGGGTTCATGCTGACACACAGCAAACTGTGCATCATTTTGCACATTATTTGGCAGTATGACAATGTTATATGTAGATAAAAACAGAAATAGAAGACCTTTTATATGAAGCTGTCCCTTGTGAAAATGGGAATAGGGAACTTAATTTAAAATAAATCTGTATAAACAGAAGTGTAGCAATGTGCTTTGTCTAGAGTCTATTGACAAAATAATTCACTATAAATCTTTCATTTCTCAGTGTTACACAAGGCACATATAGAAAGGTACCACTTACTAAAGGTCAGTACACTGGTTTATCAAGGTGGTTTATCTACATGTGCAGGTGTTTACAGGAAGCAGCATGTTTGTCCAAACTGATAATGTTGAATTGATTGACTGGTATGGTGTTCTTCATGATGCACATGTCCAGTTTCTCTCTCTCGTCTGCACTCAGCTGCAGACACACACATTTACACAAGTGGACCAATCACAGCACCAATGCACCAATCGCAGCTCCACACACAGTCGTACCATCCTTGTTTGCAGAGGCAGATTTGTGGTTCATCATCTGCTCTGTCTCACAGCTGTTTTATTTAAAACCGATGAGACACTTTGAAGTTGTTTGCACTATTAAACATTGCTGCTATTGAAAGTCTCAACAAGGATTACCTTTAGAGATCCCCACTGGATTATTGTGTTTATGCAGGTAAGTACTTCTTTGATTCTTTCAAGGCTTGAACAATGTTTTAATAAAACTTTAACTTCAAAACCAAATGTTCAGGTGACATAAACTCATAATCCTTATTTTATAACAAAGAAATGACTTCATTATTAATGAGAATATATTATTCAAGGTGCTGTATGTAACTCTAAGGAAAGACAGTTGAATGTTGATTCTCATTTCTCGGCCGTCAAATACGTTTTGGGATGTTAGTCAGACCGATCCACCCACTTTAAGTGTTGATATTTAAGTTACATACAGCACTTTTAAATGTCTCTACAGTTTCTTTATTTTTTTTGTATATAAGGTTTATCATAGAGCCTGTTTTTATCCTGTTAATGCATGCAAGTTCTTCTAACTGACAATTACAGACACAGAAAACTTCTTTTATTTCAGATGGATGATGGTTTATCCTCAAAAATTCCTGAATGTGTTTGTCACTCTGTCTCTGCTGAGATGCCCCTCCGCTGCGGACCGAGGTAGGAAAATGTTTTGAATGGATATGGGTTGATAATTTGATAAAAGATTGAGTCAAAATTCCTAAATATTAATTCTATAATAGTTCAGCTGTACAACAATAAGACAATTGAAAACGACTGACTAGTTTGCAAAGAGACAATCCTGTTTTTAAAAGTGTTTATCTTTTAGATTACAACCAGCATGGCCGAACCCACAGTTCTGTGAGAGAATCACTGTGGTGACTGTAAATAAGTATCTAAAGCAAACACAGTATGCAGCAGGTAAACACTATACAGCTATGCACTCACATATACGGTCCCTCCAAGTCATAGATGAAAGATAATAAGGTCTGAAGCCATTGAGAAGTTAAAGCAAATGTCAAACCTTTATTGTTTCCTATATCTTTATATGGTATATACAGCTACATACTGACATTACTGACTTTACACTGATGGGTTTTCTATCCATTTTAGTTAGCTGCACTAACTAAAAAAAGGATCAAAATCAGTGCAACAGAGCCAGAGATATTATTTTTTTAATCAAACACATTTTTCTTCCCCATTAAATCCTGACGCCTACATTACCAACAATGCAACCCTAACCGCAGATAGACAAATAGTAGCTTCAGAGATAAAACACTACCATCTCTCACACTCCTCTCATAGCTGCTCTACAGATCTGTTCCTAAGTGCTGTATGTTAATGATTTACTTTACATATTGTCTGGCCCTGTTTACACCAGAGGGGTGTACCATGAGGGCGAGATTAGGGTCCTTAGCAAAGTATGTTGAGTCTAAAGCCAGAGTCTTCCATGTAACCGAGGGGGCTCTCTCTTAACCTGGCTACATTTCCATGGTAACGTATGCTGAACAGATAACCTGCTTGGGACCAGTTTTGTTTTAAAATTCAGCTTGAAATCAGCCACTAAGCACCTTTCGAAAAAAGTTGCTTTTCAAGTTCATGTTGCTTTTTTTTTGCCATAGGACCCTACAGTGTATCAGCGATGCAGAAAACATGAGCAAAATTATTGTTTTATTTCATTAAATGAACTACTGAATGTATGTTTGTGGTGTTCTGCGGTCCTCCTGCTCACACTCCTATAAAATCACAGGCAGCATTATTTATTGATAATTCACTATATTATGTTATAATATATTTATTATATTAATTATATTCCGTAAAGACAGAAGTGGTTGGCATGCAATCCATCAGTTCTGAATGCGTCATTTGACTCGTTTTATGGGAACATGCACAAAGCCTGAGGAACAAAGCCTGAGTTAACAGAGCATAACCACCTTTGTGATACCCATTGTCTCTGACTGGGGCTTTAGACTGTCGAGACAGCTAAGGCAAAGAATTCTAGCTCCTTCAAACATGCTTGGTGGTACAGTACACCCCTCTGGTATTAACACATCTTGGGTGATCCGATCACAAGTGGAGAGCTTCAAGTCTGTCTGTTCACACCTGGCATAAGAATGCATCTCTGACCACTTGTGATCGGATCTGACTTCTCCCTCTATATGCAAATAAACACATAGCTCTGCATCATTTCCCTTTGTAAAGACCAAATGCATTGTTGTTTTTCACCACCCACAAACCAAATTTTCATTTAACCGTTATTTCAACAGGGAGGTCCATTGAGAGCGAGCCCTCTTTTTCAAGGATGCCCTGCATGCAATACATAACACACACAATTACAAAATTACAAGGTACATAAACATGAGAGTACAGAATACAAAAAAAATACAGTCTTTACAACGTAAAAGTGAAGAAACTTAACATAGTAGATACAGACAAGACTAAAAATAACAGGAGCAAGACTGATCTCTAAGTAAAACCTCATCAAGTAGCACCTTGAAGGACTCGATGGACACCAGATTATCTAATTTAAGTGACTCCTGGAGTCTCTTCCATCTGTCAGGGGCATAAAAACTGAAGGTGGTCTTTCCTAGTTCACATTTCATACGTGGGATGTGAAGTCTAAGCTGTGTCTGTGAACTTGTATTATAACCAGTTGTACAAAGTTTTAAAAGTTAGGTTAAATATAAGTGAAGCTTTCCACACAAGGCTTTATAAATGAATAAAAGACAGTGCTGTTCTCTGCGAACTTCGAGAGAGGGCCAGCCCACTTTTTCATATAAAATGCAGTGATGGGTAAGATACCGATCCCCAGTGATAAAACGTAAGGCACTGTGAAAAACTGCATTAAGAGGTTTCAATGTGGAAGCTGAGGCATGTATGTATATGACATCACCAAAATAAATTGTACATTATTGTGGATTGTACGATGGTCTTCCTGCTGGGTGAGGTGAAACATGACTTATTTCTGTATAAAAAAAACAATTGTTACTCTTAATTTCTTTGAAAGGTGTTCCACATGAGTTTGAAAAGAAAGCTTGGTGTCCAACCAAATCACACACACACACACACACACACTCGTAACATACATCTATAGGCTTTTCAGAATTTTCTGACGTCATGGACGAAGCTAGCTTACGTGAATTGAGAACCACTTGGAGATGAGAAAAAGGAGGACGTCAGCTGAGAAGGCGGTCCTTCAATGTAGCCCAGGACACAACAGCATAAACACTGCTGAATGAATGTAGTCTTTGTGATCAGATCTCATGATGCATTGAGGAGGCACTGGGTGCATTCACACCTGTACTCTGAGCTGTCCACATGTGATCCGATCACCCCAGACACATGCTAACACCAGGTGTAAACAGGGCCTCTGTGTCTGTTTCAGTCCCTCTGCTCAGTCTGTGGGGTGAGGTGGCGGACTTCACCTTTGCGTGCAACCACTGGAGACTAAAGCCTCAGGTCTCCATCCCCGCCCTGCAGGAGGTTACGGTCTGCTTCAACCTCAAGCTCAAGGTATTGACGACAAACTGCACAACTAATTCACAAGTCTAAATAGCACTGCTATTACTTTTAAGGGCACATTTAAGGGGACTTTATAAATCATGCATATTATATTATACATTTCATCAACCATATCTAGTTGCGGACCTCCTCACTATGGACTGCCTTCATGTACCGCCATCCTGAGGCCCAGTATACTGAGCTGGGCCTGGGGGGAAAGTGGGGTTGTTTAGTGGTCTGGCTGTTTGGAACGGAGTGGACTACGTCTAAGATCAACCTTCATCCATCACAGTGGCACTCACTGTGCCTGACCTGGACACATACTAAAGACAGACCGGCCCTATACCTCAATGGCAACCTGGTGGACATCACGGCAGGTGGGTTAAGTCATAGGTGACTGGGTTACAAGTGTCCAAATCCGTCTCCTGCTTTTTAAGGTTAATAACAGGACAGACCTCAATGTGCTGGATCCGTGCAACCCTACTTAAATGCAGGCTAGATCCATAATTTAGCAAAGGATAGGGACACTTTTACATTTGACACCATTTTCAGTGCTAAATTGTGTTGGCATTTCAGGGGTATCTACTTATTTTATGATGACTAGAGAGCAGGGCTGGGTACTGGTACTCAGTACCTTTAAGGTCTGACCCCAGGAAGATTAGCTAATGCTAGGGTGTTAGCTAGTAGTATTGAAACCTCTCCAGTCAAAAATACCCACATTTAATCCTTTTTGATCCCAGCTACAACCCTCACAGTCTGTGGTATGGTGAAGTCAAGCAAGGTGTATTTGAAGGAGCTGGCAGTACAGTGTGCCGAGATGCCACCAAAACATAATAAAGTTTGGCTATACTGCACAACCGTGTAAGGAAGGAAAAAGGAGGTTATCAGTGTTATGGTAGCAAAGTTTTTATGAATCAATTCCCAGCCTTACTAAATAGTCAGTTGTTGTCACATTGTGTTTCAAGTTTAATTTGGTAAGATGACTGTGTACTTGACCCTCCTTTATGCCACACTACTGTTTTCCTCTCTTTGCTCACTATGTAGAAACAACTCCCTCCATTTCCCCTCCGTACGGCAAACTGGCCCCTAATGGAACGCTTACTTTGGGTGCAATGCACCGTCTGGTCAGTGGGAGTATCCAGGTTATTCCGTTTAACTCTCTGATGGGCAAATTATCTCTGTTTCGGCTATGGGGGCGAGAACGCGACCAAAAGGAAGTAGCTTCACTGTACTGTACAGAGGGGGACCTTGTGAAGTGGGAGAGAGACAACTGGGACACTCAGATCTGTGCGCCGTTCCCTGATCCCAGCCTCAAGTGTGGTGAGCTGATGATAAACCTATTTTCCATTAACTACAACATGTTTTCTTTCATATTTTGCTTTGTTTCAAACATTATTAACCCTACATTTTCCTCAACACCTGCAACAAACTGAATATTCTCTCCCTCCGCTGCCTCCCACTGTGTTTATACACCAGTCAGTGATTCACCTTTCTGCAGTAAATGACCTGTCAGCTTCATCAAGCATTTTACGGCTTTTTCCAACCTCAGTGGTAGCCTCCGAGGCTGCTTCTGGTTTACTGTGTGTCCTCAGCACTCAGATTAAATATTGACGCCCTGTCTCTTTGTCAGTAAAGTAAATATAGACGCCATTCTGTGATCAATAACATTTAGATCAGAAGCATTAATCATGCAGCTGTCAGAGGAGGTTATTTCCTCTCTGCAAAGCTGAAACCTGCTGTAATTTTCACTGTGAAACTACTGTTAGCTTGTGTTGTCAAAACTGCCACCAGAGTTCAGAAATTGTTGATATAAATTCCTTTTCTTACCAATTTTCTTTTTTAAAGTCACTAATTCTGTCTGTAACACAAGTCTTCATTTTCATGTTTTAAGTGTATTAATTGAATTCTCTGAGATTAACCGTCACTCAAAGGGCCAGTGTGTAAAATGGGTTGAAAACAGTGACATCAGTGGTCAAATTCTAGATTGCAGGGCTCACTCGCTCACCCCTCCCGTCGGGTAAATGACGGTGGCCTCGTAGGGACAAAAAGCCTTGCGCACGAGTTTTTCAGGAGTAGGTCTATCTAGCGACGAGGTGAATGTTTATTTAGAAATCTAAACCATGTTACGATATTGTAATGAATCCCTCACGAGCAGGAGACCAGAGGAGCGTTCGGGAAAAAGGCCAGTTTATTTGAGCACTCCAAAAACTCCGGTAACACTCCAGGGGGTAAAAGACTCCGTCCCAAACTCTGACTCTTCTAGCGTAACAGACACACTTCATACACACATACTCGTTTACCATGCCGAGGGGGAACCCCCTCCCCTCTCTGCTCCACCAATCTCCAGCCCGCACACTGACTGACAGCGTAGCCGGTAAACAGAGCTCAGCTGTTTATTTAGCCTAGCAATATCTCCGGACTATAGTAGCTGCAATGGACGACTTTGAACGCGATTTTGAAGAGTTTCTTGTAGCGGACACAGACCCAGAGCCATACCTGTTTGAGCCGGAGCATACAGATGAGGAACTCCATGTGTTTGATGCTGAGCGGGCGAGAAGAGAGGCTGAATGCACAGAATGGGATTCGGTGCTACTGCTGCCATCGTTGGGGAGATATATCATCAGGAGGAAAAGCGCCGCAGAGAGTGCATCACAAGGAGTGAAGCTGCATCTTCTTTTCCTCGCAGATGACGGTTCGGGTTCATTCTCTCCTGCTGTGTGGTAAGTGTGGTCCATTCGCAAACTTTATAACTAAAAAACTTTTAACTACTCTCCATCGACGAGCTACTAACACTCTCTGCTGTTTCCTCCTCCTTCCTTCCTTCCGCTGTCTTCGTTGGTTCATTTATACACGCGAAACGCGTTCTCTGGCTGGCTGGATTGTCCGTTTGGTCTGCTGTACATACATGGCGGCGCAAGATGGCGACCTCTCTAAAGCAAGGCCCTTGCTATATATATATAAAAGCAAAATTATAAGGCTACGAAAACCAAACAAATTTTATTTTATAGCGATTATACACTTATATAAATATATTAATGTGTAGAATATTCAGATTCAGATTCAGATTGACAATAAACCATGCCAAATATTACACACTGGCCCTTTAAACCACACTGACTGCAGGTAACAAATAAAATCTACTGACTGAGGTTTCAAATTAAAACACATTATTTAACATACAATTTATCTGATGCATTTAAATACAGTTTCATATCAGGAAACGCCCTTCACAGTAACTTTGAAACACCTGTAGTTGACACTAACAATGAACGGAAGAAGTGGTTCTGCAACATCGACAGTAATTCCCTGAACCCTTGAGTTCTGCTTTTACAAATGAGCCCCTGTTTTAGTTTGTCACACTCACAATTAGAAACTTAACAGGGGAGAAGATACCACCATTCTCATTATGCTTTACATTTTCTATCTTGTACATGGACATGTGATGCTTTTTGTTCATCATAATGAAAGATGATTTAGATTAAACACCGACAAAGACAGTTAAGAAATTAAAATACATTTAGGATTTACTGTAAGCTCTAAGTTTTAGCATGATATGTTCCAATTGTTACAGCATTTTAATTTACTTTTACTTTTTTCTGGTGTTTTATTTTGCCTCTGGCTGACTGACAGTATGGTCATTGTACGAAGTGAGACTGACGTTTGAAATCAGACGCTCTGATGGCAACAAAACCGAACTCTACACGGCCAGAGACATTGCACATAAATGGGTAAAAGAAACAAATACACAAAAACACACATATATTGTAATTGTAACTGTAAAAACCAACATGAAGATGTTCTGTATATTACACTCTGAACACTGAAGCTGTTTCCTGTTACTTCTGTGTGACGGTGGTGGTGCTGTGTCTGTGTCAGTCAGGTTGTATTGCCCTGCATTGTACAGGTGTTATAAATCTTTCTGCTGTTTGTTGTTCCTGCAGCTCAGACGAGTTCTGCCACACACCATCTATTTAAACAGAGTGTCTGTGTTTGAGGCAACCAGGTATGAGAAGATCGGACTTTACAACACTGTCGTGACTCAATATATTTCATAAAATACCTATGAATGTCATTTCATGTCACATCAGTCAAACCTTATTTTAGTATATGATGGTAAGAGGGAACCAGTGAGCAATGAGTGTCAGAGTTTCTCTGATCTCTTACGCAGATCCAGACAAGACAACAACCTTGTAAAACCGTCACATGAGGACAGGATGGTAAGCACACTAGAGCCTGACTGAGCAACTTGCATATAAAGGTGTAATGGTGTACATGTTGTTGATGATCTCCGTTGGACATAGAGTAGTTTCGGTAACATGTCCACTTTTCACGTCCTGTCCGGGGCGTCTGGGGGGGTGTTTATAAATTGATGATAATGTCTGGTTTTCCTTGTGTGTGTGTGTGTGTGTGTGTGTGTGTGTTAGAGTGCGGCACGGGCCGCATACTTCTGTCCGAACCCGACAGTCATTCTGTTTTGTTATGTCCGAAACCGAACCGAGCCCGACATTATTTAATTACTAAAGCACTGAGTTTGTGTCACACAGTTGTTATGGTTACAGGCTATTTAACAGGCCGGGCGTGCACCGTGGGTGCTCAGCTGCGGAGAGGGAGACATCCATGTTTGAGACAGGAGCGGGTGGCAGGAGGTCCGAGGCTTCCAGCGAGAGGAGAGGGAGAAATATAACAAAATAAAATAGGAAAACCTGTCTCCCTCTTTTATTTTCAGCGTTCAATCAAGGCGGAGGCGGGTGACTGGAGGTGTGAGACTTCCAGCGAGGGGAGAGGTAGAAACAAACAGCTAATGTGTGTGTGTGTTCTGTTCAGGTGTTGTCACATAAATAACAGTGCCCAAGCAATAAACGGGACAGACAATGGGATTTTATTTATTTTTACACTACATTTTCACTGAAAGCTGACCGAATCCGACCCCAGCCCGAATACAATTTATACATTTTTGACTGAACCCGGCCCGCCCCGTAGGGTAGGCCTACCGTCAGGACCCGTCGGGCTCGGATCGGGTAGCCACACTCTAGTGTGTGTGTAAGCTATGTGTCCCCTATCTATAGGGGCCTATCTGATTTCTGTCTTTGAGAGATATATTAAAAATATAAGGCATCTTTGAGTAAACTGCGAGTATCATTTAAGTAGGCTATCTCGTGGCCGGGCCGAGTGTCCTCTTTTTTGGAAATCAAAATATGGTCACCCTAACATTACCAGAAGATGTCTCTGTCATAAAAACTTGACATGAACAAGAAATGCACCTCTTTTTGTGTTCATGACAAGGTGACATAATGATTATTATTGTTATGACAAAGACATCTTCTGGTAATGTCATCCTGGTTAATGTCAAGTTGTCATAATAAGGACATCCCAAACAAATTTAATGTCAACTTGTCATGACAAAGACAACTTCTGGTAATGTCACTTTGATTAATGTCAAGTTGTCATAATCAAGACAACCCAAACAATGTCAACTTGTCATTACAAAGACCAAATGACACTTAATGACAGCAGTCATAAACGTTTATGACCTGTACATAATGTTCATGACAGGTTCAGGACCGTGTCATGTCATAGTTATGACAGTGTCATGTCACTCTTATGTAGATACCTTCAAGTAAAGTGTTACCGTAGTTTGTCAACTGATACTCGGGAATATAATGTTGACAGATGTTTTAAAAGAGTTACATCTACACGAGTATAAAAAATAATCCAGTGTGTCTCAGGCTCTGAAGCATATAGGAAGTTTTACCATCACAGGGATAATCTCCGTGGCCGACATCTATTTTGAGTTTAACTTTAAAATCTGTGTCTTTTATTCTTCAGGTGCGGCGGTCTCCCGATTATGACAGGTAACATTGCTCAGGTTTCATGTAATGATTTCTGTTTTCTGAATGTTATGTCATCTGATCGTTGCTGGGCAATAAGATGTTCAACTACAGGCCACAGCATCAATTTATAGCTCAGATGACATTCCCTTTATTATAAAATATATCCGTATGCACACGCATAATTTGAAATATGTTGAACACGTTGTTGTTTCTTTCAGAGTTCATCTATATTACCAAAGCTTCTGAATACTTTTAATTGATCACACTGAATTTTCAGAATAAACTGTTTTTGTAAAATATTGGATATTTTACCAAAAAGCATAAATACATAAAAATCCTTAAACAATTAAACACATTGAAAAGGAACACTATGGCTGTATGACTCACGCCCACGCTAAGGTCGTAACAAATAGATTTTACTATTGTATGCTGTAGTGGTTCCCGCATAGTTTGACTTGTGACCCGTTCAACAAGAGCGGAGAAAGGTCCTGCACACTGTTCTTTTACTTGCATTAGGTGTGGAGGGCTCTGCTCTGAAGTTACACCGCTGTCCACTCTGTGTGTGGAGCAAAGCCCCACCCTCCTGCAAACAGGCAGCGACACAGAGAGCAGAGACAGATGCAACAGACTGACCGGCTGTTGTTGTGTTTATGTCTGATGTGAAACAGGCTGTTAGATCAATTCATACAGTAAAATTTCTAAAGTTTATAATCGTTACTGACATAAATTTTATATCGCCCAGGCCTAACTTGCAATAAACTTTATTGGAAATACGCTTCGGTCCTTTACCTGATGAGGGTTTAAAGACCAAACCGTTGTACCTCCAATAAAAGTTTATTGCAAGTAAAAGAACAACGTGCGGGATTTCTCTCTTCCCTTTCCTATAGATATTTCCGCCTGCACACCTATCCATGAGAAACTGAAGGTGTGCATGAGCCTTTACAGTCAAGAGTTGGCTTGTGACCCCTTAAAATGAAGTACTCTCTGCAACCTATGGTTCCGTTTCTCCCCTGTAGGTTTGACTGCCTGGTTCATGTAAACGTTAGACCAAGCAAGGACGTGGCAGAAGTGCAAGAGGAGATTTACAGTGACCTCACTGATGATGACATCAGTGATCAGCAAGTGCTGCTGGTTCATAACGACAGCATACACACAACACCTGTTGGTAGGAAATGGTTTTCACCATGTGTGTGTGTGTTTGCAGAAAAACAAATTCTGGTTTACAATAATCATTCCTCTGTTTTTAGAAAGTTTCTCTGCAGTCACTGTCAGCCCTCCTGAGGTTGTGACAGAGCCCACTGCAGTCACAACCACCACATTCACAACCACAACATCCATTACCACCACCAGCACCACCACAGGTGTCTCTACCAGTGCGGCCACAGCCCCCACCTTCACAACAAGGCCTGCAAACATCTCTGGTCAGTCTGATCATTTACAGTCACAGAAATGCTCTCTGTATAGTTGTGTGTGGATTACTAGGGGGGTTTATTTTAACTGTACCCAACTGGATTCCTAAATCTTTTTTATCTCCTCTGCAGAGCTGTATTTTGAAGTTAGAGTGAACGTTTCCATAAAAGGAGATTGTGACCCCCGTCAAGTTCTTTCTACCTGGGTATGTCTGACAGAAAAAGCACAGTTCTTTTAGTTTCAGGAATATCGGACCGATTTGTCTCAAACGTGGCCTCTGACTCTCCACAGCTCAACTCCAGTCTACCCGGTGACATGATGATGGTGCTTGACCTTCAGCTGCTCCCGGGAGCTGAAAGGTACAGTATGTGATGTCGCTGCTATGCCATCAACTCACCTAATTTCCAGAAATATCACACTTTCATATTTTAAAGTGAACAATTTAATTTAGTCTCTTTTTTCTCTTACAGACACCATCCTAACCAGCAGTCAAACTCCTCGTCTGATGGAGTGAGTAAACATAAATAACTTCAGTGAGTTTTTTGAGACTCATATAAGCACTGAAAACAGATGCTAGTAGGCAGACTTTTTAACTTTGGGGTGGCGCTTTTCCCCTTGGCTGCCAGTCTTTGTACAAAGCTAAGCATACTGACATCTACTTCTAGCTGCGTAATTAATACACAGACATGACAGTGGTATCGATTTCCTCTAATAACTGTATTTCCAAAAATGTCGAACTATTCAATTTTCATGACAAAGCTATGAAATATTTCGCTGCAAAATTTCAGACTTTTACTCTGAGTAAAGGTTGAAGAACCTACACATTGAAATCTACAATAATACAATACTTTTCAGGGAGACAGCAGATATTGTACCCTTAAAGCGTGGAATGCTATCCCCAAAATAATATCAATTTACAAAAATATATCTAGACAATGACGTGAATGAACAAAAAGTAGCAGATGCAAACATTTCGCTGGATTAAAAGCCTCATTTTACATTTGGTTGAGTGGAAACCGCTTCTATGGATCAAAAATCTTGGGACAGAATCATTCGTTTATAGTGATCAAGCAGTCCACTTTGAGTGTTTTCATAAATGACAACATATGGTAACCCATTTGCCTCCAGCTGGCTACAACAGGCTGGTGTTGCACAAATCATGAGAGGATAAAGAATGCCATTTTCTCTCAATGAAAAACATAGTCTCCTCAAAGCTTACAGCTGCTAGTAATGGAGACGAGACATGAATGCACACGGGGATAGCACCGCTGGTTAAAACCGCCCTCAAGTGGATTGATAATAGCCCACAGTCATATAGTGTCCACGTAAGCAAACAGCTGCACTGTGTTCTGAAAGAGTCAATTAAGTTCAGTAGCAGTGAAGCTGCCTGTTTCATTACTTTATATTCATGTATTAAATATGCAAATGTCAATGAGATGGTAATAACAATCAGGTCTAATCATCCGCTTAGTGATCAATATGACCTGGACAGACGTAATCACTATAAGCAGTTTTCACTTTTGTACTCCTACCTCCTACTACCTTTAATTGTACTGCAAATCTTTAAACTGGTTTAATCCTTATATGTTCTGCTTTGAACTGACATCCTTTTTCCCTCCAGTTTTAAAGCTGTGTCAATATCTGTATTCTCTTCCAGGTGTTTTCAGATGTTCACGGAGTTTCAAGGTATGGATCATGTACTTCTACACCATTTCATTTAGATCACAAAAAACTGAACTCAAGGAAAATAAATACATGAAGACCAAAATGCACAATAAGGCAAATAATGATTCATCCATCAAATATAAACGGTCTGATTTTGCAACCTATAATGACTCCTTCACTGTCTGCAGAGAGAGCTGCATTTTCCAGGTTCAGGTCATGATGTCGCTGTCAGACACACAGGAAATGGAAGAGCAGATACGACTCCTGCTGCTGACTCCCTATAACAATGGATCCGTCTCCATAGCAACCGAGGACATAGAGATAAGCCGCATACGTGAGTCAGGTTCAGTGAAAGACTGCAGGGTGTAAAATTAAAAATTGGACGCATATTATTTTCAACAACTGATATTAAATTATTCATAATTAAGACTGGATAAAAAGTCAGTTTGTCTTTCACTCTTTCTCCATCTGTGTCACTGTCAACCTGTTTTAGTGATATTTAAGTGCAAAGCAGAAACCCACCACACCAGGAAAGGTCTGTTCGTGTGGCCCGACATTTCAGGAGGAAAATATGCAACTCAGCCGTGCCCGAAAAACCCTCTCAGCCAAGCCACACGCCAATGGTGAGTGATCAAGATAGATAATGCATTCATTTTTGAAACATACATATGTATGTATATACATTTTCACACCTACAACAAGTGCAAATCAACAATTACTAGTAATGGATACATGACTGGGATGGCTATAGTAAGCAGGAGAAAATCAAATAAGACAAATGTAATGCAGTGCAGGGTGTTGGAATAAACAAACATAATGTAATATCCCTGATCAGACAGAATGCGTTTTAGCATCCAGCAGCTGCTATTGGTAATGGGTTTTAATAGGAGTGAAGCTTTTTACTCGCTGCTTTTGCGTTGCTAAGCCTCTCACATTTTTCAGCTCTACACGCCTTGTTGTTTTTTTTGCAAGGGCGCACTTAACTTCTCGAGCTAGAAAAACCTTTAACTCAAAGCAGAAAAGTGCCTGACATCATTACTGTTTTTTTTTCTTTCCATTGTCTAATCCAATAAATTGAGAGGCGGGCCTTTTGTGGTGGCAACACATGGTAACGTACATTGTTTATATGAAACTAACACTAGCTCACTTTCATCATCGCCCTAGGCAAGCTGCAAGACATATCCAAACAAACTGTCACCTCAACTACTTTCTAACATCTTACCAACCTTAAAAAGGCCTGATGATTGACGAACCAACGATCATCCAGGCGAGGCTCCTGGACCAACTGGTGGTACTCCCTGTGATTTCTCCTCTTTCTGAGGGTCCCACATGGAGTTCCATTTCCCTATGACAAGCATACTATTTGAGAACAGTAGCCAGTGTCCTCCACCTGCCCATTTTTAATGCAGATTTTAAAGTATCTGTGAGTTTACTTCCCAGTAAAATAGCTGTTAAGCTAAAGATGTTATTCAGTGGTTGCCTAGCACAACCAACAAAAAACACAGACACAGCAAACTGCAAAAAGCACTCTGTCTGATCTGGGCCTAAAAACATCACTTAAGGCTTAGACAAACTGTGATGGATATTTGCCAGTGTTTTCTGACCTTAAATAGAGTAAATGAACAATTAACAAATAATCAAAAGATTAAATGTTGGTAAATATAATCTGACATTTTACTTAAGCAGAACTAAATGAACATGTTTTACATCTACCATATGCAGGATAACTTTTCTTTAGAGCATTGCTTGATGCAATATTTGATTTAATTATCAAAGAGCTGGGTGAGTTTTATTTAAGTGATTTTGAAATTTAAAATTCTGAATGAGCAAGAGTTGTATGTGTTAGTCATGGTGGCAACATACTGTACTATAGTATAAGCTAAACTAAGCTCCAAAGATATTATCAGTGATATTTTGACCAAACCTTTACCCTTCTCTTCATTGTTGACTGGAGGTAGTAAAACTTGCTTCTTAATAAATTAATATATACACGTTAAAAACGGTGGTACATTGACATTTTCTTATTTTAGCATCTGAAATCCAGGGGTGTGTTTCAAGCCTGCAGCTACAGTATGTTAACATTTACTTGTCGACTCTATCCTGTTGTTGACATGAAGCGCTTACTGTCACTTATCAGTGAACTCATGACCTGCAGAAAATTCATCATGTAGTCACACTGAGAAAAGGGTACATGTATTTATCTGGTCGAGTGTCAATATGGATTTCACACATGAATACATACAGGTGTATTTGGTATTGATTACATCTATTGGTATATATTCTTATATGGCAGTGTCACTGTGTTCAGGACTGTTTCTGTTGTGACAATATTTACTGATGGCTGCTCATGAGCTGCAGGAGGCTGTGCTGTAAAGTCATTAATCAGGAGATGGGTGCGATTAATGACTGGAGTTAACAGATGGGTGTTTCCGGGGATCGACAAACTCCCAGCTGTCTAGGCTCTGTCTTAGGCATGCATCTTCTGCCAAAGTAAATTGAATTATAGCTGCTGCGCAGCAATGGGTCGGGTCTGGGCATTTTTAAGCAATTCTGAGCAACAAGCAGAAGAATTGGAAGACATTTAGGAATTTAGCAACACAATCAATCAATAACAATGATTGATTTGCTCCATAAGTGAAAAACTGATGTTTAAAAATGTCATTTTTACATTGACTCCAATTGTTCACATTAGAGCAAAATTCAAAATGCTGTCAAAAATTCAGTTTTTTGCCACACATCATCTACCATGACTCCAGAATTTTGTCATTTTTTTCATGAACATTGAAGATTTATTTAGCAAGAATTTGCATGTATATGTTTACAGTACCGTTTACAGTCAAACATTTTGATGCACTGTAGGCTCAATTTTTGATAAATCAAAAATCTGAGAAACATGGTTTTTGTAGGACAGTCTGAAGATGCTCTGTAGCAAGTTTGGTGTCAATTGAGCAAAAACTGTGGGAGAAGATAGGTTTAAGAAGTTCTATAGATTTTGAAAAAAAAATAGAGTGATGAACTTCATAATTTTTAATAGGTTTAAATGTACAAAAGTTTCTTCAGTATTGGGGCTACAGTTTGATGAAAGTTGTGAAGTTGTAGCACGTATGGTTGATTTGTTATGAATTTTCAAATTTTTGAACTTTGGACGCTTGCTGTAGCGCCACCATCAGGACTACTGGCTTGAGTTTACAGTTGAGGATATCTGGCATGAGACTGGACCTTTGTGCAAATTTTGGTGAGTTTTCACCCATGGGGAGTATGATTTCCTCAGAAGAAGAAAGAAGAAGAAGAGGAGGAGGAGGATTACATTAGTGTCCGGGCAGCTTAGCAGCAAAAGTAGCTATATGGAGGGTAGTCAAGAATAAAAGATGCATAGCTTGTAAAGTAAATACAAGATAAAGAATAAAACACTTTGCAAAAACTCTGTTCAAAAGGCAGGCTTTGTTTTAAAGCCCCCTCCCTCTGTCCTCTCACTACCTGTTTGACAGTAAACTGTGCCTCAGTACCCGCTGGTTGGCCCCAGACCTGAAAGACTGTCATCTGGTGGTGGAAACCATCCCTGATCTGGATCATGTCGAAGTCACTGCTGGTCTGTTTTACACTTTTCATTTCATCTGTCTGTCTTATGTCTTAGTTCTTGACTTCAAAATATTCGCATCATTTAGTCTGAAATCTCTGGTCCAAAATGTAATGTTAAGATCCGTGGAGTTCCTAACAACATACTGTTTTCAAAATGCCTAAAAACTCATGTATGCAAAACAGTAGAGGGATGTTACAATGGCTATGTTTACATGCACAAAATATTCCGGTTTTTAACCTTATTCTGAAAAAGACAGTATCCCAAGAATGCTCAAAAAGCCTTTAAAATGCAGGCATATCCCACATGTCTTAATCGGAATATGCCTCTCTCCAAATAAGGTCTAATTCAAAATATCCAAATGGGATATGTTGTTTAAATGACCTGTACCAAATCTGGAATACTGTCATATTCGTTATAATTGAGGAATATTAGTGTGCACGTAAACATAGTCAGTGTCGCTAAGTTAATTCCTGTTTTACACATTTGAATCCCCATAACAACAAATCAATGAAAGGGTCAGGACCTACTCTATAATGGAGCTTTAAAAAACACCACTGGATGTATCATCACTGTATCTCCAGACAATGCACTTGACGTGGTGGAGATGATTGAGGGTCTACTGAGCAACCACTCCACACTCAACTACCAGGAGCTGGTCACAGTCCTCAACAAGCTGAAGGACGTCATCAAGCTCAGCACAGTCACACCGACCCTCGGCCAAGCTCTGATCAACATCATCTCTGACATCCTGGAATCTGACAGCAACCTGATTCCTTTTACCAACACGTAAGGATGGACAACTGGAGGAATCTTTTTAACTTTTCAGTTTGACGTCCGTTCACCCTCCTCTGTCTTCCTCTCTAGTATCCTGAATATCACAGAGGCAGTGGGTGACTCCATGGTGGGCTACGAGGGCTCCTCCACCCTGGTTGCTCCTGCCATTGCTATCTCGGTGGTGGATGTAGTTCCTGGACAGTTTAGCAGTTTGACTTTCGGAGTGTCATCAGACCTTGAAGGCACAAAGCCTGAGGTTGGTAAATAAACAAATAACACCAACACATCTCCTTAATCACATTCACGGTTACTGTTGAATAAGCAGGCTGACTCTGAGCTTAAAGTCGGGGTACAGTCAAATCTGAGATTTACATGTAAACACATTATACATGTAGTGGTGCTACAACTTAAAGAAGCTGCAGTTGTCCTGTGAGTGGGCATGGCTTATGTGCATTCAGCAGACATGGCCCAGCATCTCAGAGCAGAGAATACTGCCTATTTTTATATAATTCTGGTGTGTAATTTTGTATACTTGGCAACTTTTAATCATTCAAGTAAGGCCAAGTGCTTAATAACACATTTTTCTGTGGTGTGACAAACTTGTTACCATTATTTATTTTTGCTTTACGTGGACTTTAAAAGAGAATATGAATACATTTCTTTTTATGTTGTAGATATTCATCAACAAGTATCCCTTCAACGACACGGTGGCTTTCATCTCCCTGCCATCTGCCCTGCAGCACAGCTTCCCACAGGACAGCTCAAACCAGAGTCCAGCGAGAGTTAAGTTTCAGTTCTACGGCATCCCAATGCTCTTCAAGGTACGATGTTGTATGAATCCTTTCTCTTCCAGAGACAGGAAAATGTATGCAATTTAATCAAAATATTTGTTTGAAACATAAGTTTACTGAAGGAATACTTTGCCCCCCAAATGACAATCTGTGTGTCTCCAGTGAACGAAGAATCCAAAAACTTCTTGATAAATTGGTAATTTTTTTTTTTAAATGGGGGCAAGATTAGATACTGTGGAAATACCTGAGGGCCAGCTGCTTCTGGCGTTATATGGGTTATTTTAAAAAAAAACAAACAAACAAAAAAAACAAAAACTATTTCTTCTTTCAGTTAAAACTATTCAACTTTCCATCACTCCTGAAAGTGGCACCCATCACTGGCGACTTAAAGCTTCTTTGCCGTGGTCTTCTACCTAATCAGAAATGCTGCTTGATTAACCAATATTGTGTGGCGGGCCACATATGGTATATTTTGAGAGACACAATGGCCATGATTACAACAACAGAAAAACTATATATATCATCTGTTTACAAACTATCACACAACTCATACAGTATAATCCAAGTCTCATTTGTCTAGTCATATGCATACTCAATACTTCCCAAACAGACAGCCATTTCCGAAGGGGAACTGAAAGAGATCTTCAAAGCCAGACTCCATTGAGAAGAACACTAATTTTACATTGCTACATGGGAGCTGCTGGTCTACCACTGCCTCTATCATCTAGTTAGTTAGTTAGTGTTATACAACAGTTAGTTCCAACCGAGTAATTTGATTGGACGAGAGGCATTCCGTGAGTGCTGATATAGAGTATAACATCACTGGGACATATGACAGTAAAATCACTCCGCTCACAGGTGTTATAAATATAAATACAACCGTTAATTAACCAACTGTCACACTCGCTACATTGACGCAAACTGACACTATACCGTTACACCAAGAAGATGGATATTTTCCCCAAAATTACATTTGAATTAAATTATGAGTGGTTGTCAGGAGAGGACGAGGAAAACACCCAGGTTTGCCAACGTTTCATCAGCCGAACTGGACGAAGTTACACAGCTGCAGATCAATAGGCCCGTTTCCACTGCAGGAACTTCGGGGTAATTTTACGGGGCCGGGGCCGTTGGTGCGTGTCTCCACCGCAGGAACCACCCCCGAAGGACAGAGTTCCGGAACTTTTACAGGGGCTAAACAAGTCCCTGCCTCGGGGTAGGTACTCAGAACGGCCCCGAAAGACTCCTGGCTGGGGCTTGGGGTTTACTTGGTGCTGATTGGATATACTCAAGGAGGGATGTGACGTCAACAGAAAGCAACAAAATAGCTGGCATTTTTAAAACTCAGCAGACGAGGGTTAGCTCGTTCATATAGTTTCCGCCGCCATCTAAAAAACAACTCACTAAATGGCCCGTGAAAAAAATATTTTTTCCAGCGGATATCTTAGTTACAACACGATTGAGCTAGCAAAGCAGTTTTGTGTTGCTATGTGTGGTATTTATTCAGTTATGGGAAATCACGATGTCTAGAAAGCATCAGCTAACAGCAGCAGCAAAGCTAACATCAGGACATCATCTGTTAAAAGCCTCCCGTTGTCGGATACGACATCAAACTACTCCAGTTAGCTCAATCATGTTGTAACTAAGACATCCACTGGAAAAAATATTTTCTTCACGGGCCATTTAGTGAGTTATTACAGACACCGCTATCGGCTAACGGCATCCCTACGTCCCCCGGCCAAAATGGTTGCGCAACGATTACGTCACATCCAGAGCCCGTAACTTTACAGGAACCTTCCTCATACTCCGCTCTCTCAGTGGAGACACGGCGGTTGAGAGGGCCGAGCGAGGACGTTCCTGTACTAGTTCCTGCCCCCCAAATAGTACCAGGAACTTCTTCAGTGGAAACGGGCCTAATGTGAATACAAAGTAGCTTGTGAGTTCCTGGCGTGTGTGCTGCGTTGCCTGGCAACAGACTGGGGGAACTGTTTTTTTTTTTTTTTTTTTTCGCAGAGCTACATAACATTCTGTGACAATTTACAGTACAACATCACTCCCTCTCGTGTGATATTGCTTAATTATTGTGAGACTTTATTAAGGGTTAGTTTGGATTCACCACAGTCACACAATAACACAAATAAACACCAGCTTCTGTGTTCAGTGAGGTAAAATGAAGAGAGCATGGATAAGTTTAAATTTCTGTTCACTTCTCTGTCAGCAAGGGTCGTCTGTTTAGGAGGTGTTAAGCATACAACTGGATAAATAAGACTTGTATTATACTTCCTAAATTGTGTGAGAGTTTGGAATCTGTTTTTTGGATTCTTCATTCACCATGAAGGCATGCAAGAAAAATGTTTTCCTTATGAAATCAACCTAACAAGTGGTAAGTATCTGATATACACATGGTCATTTTTGGGTGAAGTATTCCTTTAATTACTGGATGAGCCCTCTTATATTCAGAAAAGCAAACTTACACATGCATCGTGTTATGATTTTCAGAGCAGCCAAGAGAAACACATCCTCAACACGTTTGTAGTGTCAGCCAGTGTGACCAACACCAGCTCTCCAATCAAAGACCTGGACGAAGACGTCAAAGTCATGCTCCACCATCTTAAACCCAATACAGTAAGATCAACTGTTATTTCAAATATGGCTGACAGCAGAAAAACATAAATCTGTCTTCAATATAATAAACAAATGAGTTAGTAATGCCTTTGATTGACTAAAGAATTTCTATTTCTGTTCAAGCTTAACGAGAATGAAGAGTGTGTGTACTGGAACTTCAATAAAAACAGTACGTCCTGATTTAAATTATCACAACTCTTGCTGGATGAACTGTGCGATACTAAATGTCTGTGTCATCATCTAGACGGACACGGAGGCTGGGATAATTATGGCTGCAGGAAATACAACAGCAGCTCTAACTACACAACATGCCTGTGTGATCATCTCACACACTTTGGAGTTCTTCTCGTATGTATCTTTTTTTTTTTTTTATACGATTTCCTGGAAAGCACACGTTGGCCTCAGAGGCACTGCAGTACATTTAAGCTTTGGTAATACTTGTTGCAGTAGTAGCAGCAGTATTAATAGCAGTAGTTCTAGGCCAGGGGAAGTGGTTGGACTCAGGTGTCACCAGCAGAGGGCGCTCAAACCACAATGATTTCTCTTCTCTGGTGTTTTTACAAGTAACAAAGACAGACTGCTTTGAAATTAAGCATTACCTTCAGCATACTGCTTTAAAATAATCAAATACAGTATATCTAATCCCTAATGACAGCTAAGGGTTGTGCAAGCTGTATGGTATAGTCTTCATGCTAGTTTGTATTTGGTACCAGGGACAGGAGCAGTTACTGTTCACACTTTACAATCTGTGTCCGTGAGAGTTACTTGTGGCACATTGGGAAATAAATACACACGTGTACTAACGGTGTTGCGTGTGTTTGTGTACAGGATGTCTCCAGGACTCAGCTGGACCAGACTAATGAGCAGATCCTGACCATTATCACCTACGTTGGCTGTGGAGTCTCGTCGCTGTTCTTGGGAGTCACTGTTCTCACCTACACAGCTTTCGAGTGAGACTCCAACCACTGAGTTGTTACTTCTTCTATTTGTCATACACTGACATGCAGACTGGTAACCTGTTGGTAGGTCATAATCACCGTGTCATGGATAATGATAAGAAATGGGCCTTAGACCAAAGCTGCTATTCTGGAAAGTATGACTTGGTGCTTCGGTCTGTATTACTGCTGTGTATGTTTGCAGTTACTGTCTAACACTTGAATTAAATACTCTCTGTGTCTTACCTTTTGTTTTCCTCCCCCACGTTTTATCTCTGTCTCCTTCTCAGAAAGCTTCGTCGGGACTACCCCTCTCAGATCCTCATCAACCTCTCCTTGGCGCTGCTGGGCTTGAACCTGGTGTTTCTGGTCAACTCCTGGCTGTCCTCCTGGGAGCTATATGGCCTCTGTGTGGCCGTTGCATCCATGCTGCACTACTTCCTCCTGGCGTCATTCACCTGGATGGGATTAGAGGCTGTTAACATGTACTTTGCACTCGTCAAAGTCTTCAACGTCTATGTGCCTTCTTATATCCTGAAGTTCTGTGCTCTAGGATGGGGTGAGTCGTGTTTTCCACACTCAAACACTTCTTAGGACAATGCTGTTGACTGAAACAATGAGAATTCAAACAAGTTACTTTTCCAAATCATTACATGCTGTAAAAGTATTTTAACTGTTCCTCCAGGGACTCCTCTGGTGATCTGCATCCTGGTGCTCATCGTGGACAGAGAGGCCTATGGCAGTGACATCTACAGAGATGCTGAGAATAGTTTAGAGCCACTGGACAACTTGTGAGTTTTAGGAACTCATTTTCCAGGTCATTGCATATAGAAACAATTCACGTTTCAATCAGCAGTGAGACTGGTAGAACTGAAAAAATCTTGTGTCCTGCAATTTCATTTTATTTAATGGGTAAAAGAGGTAGATATAATTTAAGTTTTCAACTAGTCAATTTAACTTTTTGGTGATTTTCTTTTCCTCTTGGGGAAAAAAAACAGAATTTGATACACCTTATTTTTAATGAAGTAAAAAAAATAAAAAGATTAACTGTTCCACTACTTTTTGCAAATACAGTAGCAAAGAGTCATTCCTACATTTTCCTTACTTGCAGGGGGTGACGGAGAGTACAACCATATTTAATTAAAATATTTCTCATTGCAGCACCTGCTGGTGTGGCACAGAATTTGTATGTGAGACAATAACCACAATGACCTCTGCATCTCCTCTAAATTCACTCTCTCCCTCTGACTCACTCTTTTTTATCGTTTTCCCACTCAATCCTTGTTCCCTCAGCTGTTGGCTCCAGGACGATGTGACATATTACGTGTCTGTGGTTGCCTATGCCGTGCTGGTCTTCCTCTTCAACATTGCGGTAAATGATTTTAACTTTTCGTTCAAGTTCATACCTAAGTTCAAACTACTAAAATAGCGGCCCATGTCCACATTTTGCTGGTTAATGTATCACAGTATTCTCCAAATTACATTTATAATTTTCAATTTTATAAGTAACTAGTCCATACCCATTGAGTGCACAGTTGCCCACATACAGTTTCACATGGTGTGTGTTTGGGATACAGGTCATAGGAAATTGCAGATTAAATAGTCAACTGAACCCATTAAGAAGAGCAATGTATTCAGACAGTTTTTGTGAATTTGATAGTACGATTGCTTTATTGAAAGTACAGTATTACCATTGCCAATAGTGGGATAGTTAGTGGGCTAAAACTGTACATTAGTAGTTGAGGTAGCACGTTGAAAGGCACATAGTTAAAGTGTTTATATGTTGTATTGACTTAAAAGTGGGGCGCACTGGTAGAATGACTGACAGAATGACACACTGACAGTTTCCGTGATTATGTACAGCATACCATACCATGACTTAGTCATACCAAAAATTTGAAAAAAACCCAAACATTGGGCCACAGGAGGAGCCACAGCGATCGGTCACATTTTAGCCATTTTTAAGCATTTTTCTGTTGTTACAGCGCCACCCAGTTGCCAATTAGAGTTAAATTTCTCCAGTCACCTTGAGGTGTCCTGTTCTACATATCTACCAAGTTTAGTAAAAATCGATATGGCGGTTAGGCCGAGTTAAGAAATTAGCTCTCTAGCGCCCCCATTTTGTTTGATGGGGTCAATAATGGAGGGGTCCCCTCAGATTATGTGTGGTCATATGCCTACAAAGTTGCGTGGTGATCAGTGAAACCCTTGAGATGTTATACACCTTTATGTGATGAGCCACACCCTCCGCAATATTCATTGCCTTATAGAAGCTCAGTTTTAGTAAGTTTTCCAACTTTTGCCAAGAGGGAACTTTAGATATTGGTCCCTAGATTATGTTCACCCAGTTTCATGCAGATCGCTCAAACTTCCTAGGAAGGGATCGATTTTAAGTGTTTTTCAAAAAATTCAAAATGGCGGAAAATCTATATAACCGGAAGTTATGGGTTCTTGAGGTAAATTTGTTCCTCATGAGGAGAGGCATCTCTGCGAAAAGTTTCATGTCTCTACGACGGCATGAGATATGCCCATTCAAAGTTTGCAATTTCAGTCGGTTGCTATAGCGCCCCCTTTGGCCAATTGATGTGATATTGCTTCATCCGCATCCTCCCATGACCCTCTACCACTGTGCCAAATTTCACATGGATTGACCAAGTCAGTGAGGAGAAAAACGTGGAACAGACACACCTACACACACCCACAGACAGAGTTTTCGTCATTATATAGTAAGATATCTACAGAGCTCAATCATCTCATCAACCAGACAGCAACAGTAATTTAACCACTCTTATTTTTTTAAACTCTCCTTTTAGGTTTTTGTGGTGGTCTTGATCCAGATTCGCCACATGCGAGTCAACAGCCCAGCTGGGACCCGCAGCGGACTGATGCATGACCTGAAGGGAGTTGCCAGTCTCACCTTGTTACTAGGACTAACATGGATGGTTGGCTTCTTTACATGGACGCCAGCCAGAGTAGTTCTGCTGTACCTTTTTGCTGCACTCAACACCTTTCAAGGTTGTAGTTTCTTTTATGCACAGACATATTTACTCTGGATAATATATATCTACGTACATAGGCATAGACTAAATGTGCTTCATGTAGGAACCACTTGGACAAACTGGTTTGTTCTTACATGGCATGAATGAGTGATATACCGGTAAATAAATCAGTGAGTGAAGGTTTGCCAACCACACATGCAGTTTTCTTCAACATCCTACCTTACGTTTGCAGTTCAAAAGGAACCAACAAAACTCGCAGATAAAAGGAGGAAATCAAACACAGGCTGAATGATGCAACTATTTCACAACTGCCTTTACCTCGGCTGGCCTTTGTTATATTGCTTTCTTTTTTTATCTGACAGTGATGCAACAAAAGCCCTGTGCTTTTTCACTTTTGGGAGAGAAATGCCTTGCTCAAGTGCAAATTAAAAATAGAATTTTCTGCTAAACCAATTCCTCCAAAGCTCATCATGACCTTGTCTCACTTTTGTTCATATTCCAGGACTTTTCATTTTCATCTTTCACTGTCTGATGAAGGAAAACGTCAGGAAACAATGGAGGATTCATCTCTGCTTTGGACGTTTCCGTCTTGATGAGTATTCAGGTACAACAACCGCACATAAGCCTCGTTTCCACCAAGCAGTCTGGTTCAGTTTGTTACACATTAGATCCATTATTTTTGTGTTTCCATTGTCAAAAGTTGTCGATGTTACCAATAGAAACGTTTCATTCAGTCCCATGTTATCATCATTGGGGTAGCTAGAATACAGATCATATACTAAAAGGTGGAGCTGGAGACAATGCAGTTCATTGACTGGTCAAGAGAGAATTGTCACTCTTGTTCTGAAAATGTCGGCGTGCAACTAGCTCTGTGGACAATCAGCAAGGTGCAGATGTTCATCTGTATGCCTGTGAGGAGGAAATACTTAATAATTGGCTTAATGACTGTTACCTGTGTTTGATGATGTCATCCAGAGTGGAGCAACTCGGCATCCGTTGGAGTCATGGCCAAACCCAAATCAAAACCTCCGAGAGCACCAGTACCATCGGTCCGCTCGGTCAAGTCGAGCTCCACAGAGAGCACATCAGCCTCCTCTGACTCAAGCCAGAGAGACTCATCCTGCAAGAGACCAAACCTGGGTGAGGAAACCGCGCATCATGTGTAAGTCTGTTACCACTGCTATAATTTTAGCACATTTAAAAGCCAAAACGATAAATTAAAAGTTCAACAATGACAATAAACTCTTCAAAAATAAGAACTACATTGTAAACATGTGTTTAAAAGATAAAATGCAAACCTTCTGGTTCCAATTATATTTCTTAATGAGTTAGGAAAAAAAGTTTTCAGTGAGATATTCCTAATTTTGTCACTGGTACTCTTTTGGCATTCAACTCTTAATGAACTCCTTCCCTCTCATCTTTTGTCAGACATTTAAGGTTGCAATCAGAAGATATAATTCATCTTGTTGAGATTCATATAAACGATGATGATCAGAGATTTAGTCAGACGTCATCACAGTCCCTCTGCTGCCAGAATCACAGTGAAGGTCACTGCATTCATTATTGAGACTGCACTGACGTTCAATAATTACACGAAAGCCTTTGTAATTGAGCCTAAAAGGACCTAATTGTTATTTCTTAAATGGTTCCTTCAAAATCTGACAGCTCAATTTAATTTAACCCCCAACTCCCAGGCGTGTACTCTCAAACCACATACTGAGCAAATGTTTTTCACATCTCTAAAGTGTTCATGGATGTTTAATTATCTTGCAGGCCTTTTTGTGAATTCCTTGGCTCTCCCTCGTGCCCAGAAAAGCCCCTCAGGTACAGGAGCTCTGCCTTCACAGAGGGGGACGAACCTTACACCTGGCTGGAGGAATCACTTGCTTGTTCAGCAAGAAGAAAGATAAAACACACAGGACCATTCATTTGCATACAGACGCATGAAGATATGCAAATCACAGAAACAGTCATGAAGTCTCCCAAAATGAAACAGCAGCCTTAAAACCTATTGTACTTCAATACAAGCCACAGACACATGTAATCAATGCAGCGAACAGCCATCACTAAATGTGAAGCATCATTGTGTTCCAGCTTCATTAGATCACGTTATCATGAATTCTATTGTTTTTTGTTTTTGCTAAATATTGTAAAAGAGCCTGTAATTATGAAGACATGAGTAGTTGCATCAGTTCCAAGGAGGAGTTGGTTGCCAAGCAACTGGTGAGTGGAGCCATGGTGACAATGAACCATGGTACCACACAGTTTGTATGAGGAAATAATAAAATTTGAAATTTAAGATGATGCAAGCCTCCCAGTGCTCCTTCTTCACCTCTGTTTGTGCCAGGAAACATGTGTTTCTACAATCTTTCCTTAATCGCTTCATGACATGGTTAGATAAACATGTGACGATCCATAATATCAATGTGTTTGAATAAACCATTGGCACTGACTGGAGGTGATCGGTAGCATCATAGAGAAATAGCTGAATCCATGCTGCATGAATTTCTCCCCATAGAGTTTGACAGATATTATTTATGTTCATTTTTTTGCTGGTGTTTCTGACTGTATCACCTGAACACCTGCACATTGTAATGTAAACGAAAAGGCTGCCAACACTTTCTAAATCTGTGAGATTTGACAAAACCTTTCCATTTTTATTTATAGACAAGCAGAAAGGTGTTAAAATCATAGTCTGTGGTTTGTAGAATTTTAGATTAACCCACAATATATTCAGCAAAATAGGTAAAACCATACAATAGACCTACAAAATGCTCGGTCCTGTCAAATGACCACAGATACCAAGAAAATATAGGAAGGAGAGCTGAAATTTCCGACTGAAAAACGTGAATCATTTAAATTCTATGAACTATTTTTAATTTTATACCAGCAACGTCATTTAAATTGGATCCAAAGATACTGAGACAATATAAATAATGGAACAAATGTCATTATTACAAAAAACTCGAGAGTAATGCTGTCAAAAGTATCGATTTCTCAATACATATCAATTCTGATTATTTGAATAGGTTTCAATACTTATTTTCCACCGTATCGATACGCCGGTAGTCTCGCCACCAGACAATCAGAGATCTCCGCCTTCTGATAGTCTGGGGACACTCCTTTCTAAAGTGTGTTTAACACACTGGCGAAAACGGCCGGCAACAAAGCAACGCCTCTTGCATTTTTGAAAAGGACACGCCTTCTCGGAAATGTGCGCTCCCCCTTTTCTCGTCTGCAAGGAAACAAACACACAGAGAGCTTGAAAATGGATGCCGAGAGATTTAACTCCGTTTTATCAAACGTGTGCTCATCCGTAAAGAAAATATTTTTTCCAGCGGATGTCTGAGTTACAACATGATTGAGCTAACTGGAGTAGTTTCATGTCGTATCCGACAACGGGAGACTTTTAACAGATGACGTCCTGATGTTAGCTTTGCTGCTGTTAGCTGTCCCTGTCAGCTGCAGCCACTGATGCTTTCTAGACATCGTGATTTCCCAAAACTGAATAAATACCACACATAGCAACACAAAACTACTTTGCTAGCTCAATCATGTTGTAACTAAGATATCCACTGGAAAAGATATTTTTTTCACGGGCTGTTTAATGAGTTATTACCTATTACAGACACTGCTAACGGCTAACAGGGCTAACAGCTAACGGTTAGCCCAGCTAAACGTGCACACAGAAACAATAATGTTTGTTCAATCATTGTGTTTATAGACTTTACAAACATCGGATTAGTCTCAGTCGGCTCTGCTGGTGTTCTACCCGGAAGTATTTGGCCCTGTCCAAATACCCATACTTGCGCCCTGAGGTCTTCCCTGAAGTGCACTTGCCAAAAGTGCAGTTAGGGGCGTAAGTGCGCAAGGGATCGACACTGTTTAAAAAGGAGAATTGGGACAGTTGCGTACACGTCACTTCCGTTTGGGTCCAGCTGGTCCATCTCCTAGGAGACGAAACATGGTGATAGAGGAAATAACTTTGTTCACAGCACTGCTGCTGCAAATGATAAATAGATACAATCAGCGAATGATGAGGAGGATTAGGAGCCGCAGGAGAAGGCGGCATCTACATCAGATCCAAGTATTGATGCTGATGCCCAACCAACAGGTAAATTTTTTAAATTAAAATTTTTAAATTAAATTTTACTCTTGAATTTACCTGTTAATATGTATATTAGCTGTAACATCTTTTTTTACTCTACCGTTAACGTAGCCTAGATTACCGTTATTACTATTCAAACGTTTTTTGCTTCGATAAATTGTGGTAAATTGTGATATAAAATAAACTATAAAGACATACGGTAATAAAATAATAATAATTAAAGACACAATCAAAACTGTAAAGTGATGTGGACTATCTTACAACCCTCAGGTCAACCGTAAACTGTATGTTATTTCATTATTAACGCCCTGTCATGTATTATTAAGTCCACACAGTGTGTTGTTTGACGTTATGTTCCTCTTAACGGTTGTTGTCAGTCGGAGTTAACGGCTCGCGGATACGTCAGTTACCGTTTGAAGATGGTGAGTTGTACCGGCCAGCTGTGCAGTGTTACGGCGTCACGACACTATGGAGGATTCTGGGTAAAATCCTTCAGCGAAGTGAGGTCTGATGCGCACTTTTGGAAGGGGTGCATTAAGGGCGCAGGTTTGCACCCCTTGATAACAACAGAAGACAATTTGGACACCCTACGCACTTGCGCCCCTTAGCGGGAGCGCGCAATTAAGGGGCACAAAGGCGCAAGTGCGGGTATTTGGACAGGGCCTTTGTAAACAACAAGGCGATTCCCTCTAACGTTATAGTCTGGTCGGACAGATGAGTCATGGCCTTGTAAAAGATTATGTTTGTTTCTTGTAGTTGGTGAGAATGTGTCGCCGCAATCGCAACAAACATCCACTAATTTTGACAGCGTTTTCTGCGAGCGCAGAGGGAGAACAGGCTCTGATTGAAGGGGGGGGTATCTCCCTTCATCCAATATCTCTGGTATCTCGCTTCATCCAGTATCTCTGGTTCAGCGAGCCACCAAAGGACCGCCCTGCAGATTTGCTATTGGTTCTGCAACGTAGTGAGTTTTTTAAACTCTGAAATTGTATCCTCCCATCTAAACACAAAATCAGGGAGAAAGTCATGACTCTTTAGTTAAGCAAAGCATCTAAAGACCGACTTGTGAGTCTAATACGCCGATATTAGCTGCATATTCTAGCTCTCTCTTACTGTACTCTTTACAATGGTAAACATTACTATAGTCATTCTTCTGAAAGATGTTGCTGTCATGTTGTAGCCTTGTTGTATTAACCTTTTAATAAAAAAAACGTATTGTGGCTCAGTGTCAATTTTTTCCTCAGGCATCAAAAATGGTATCACACATCCATATTTTTCAAGGCACTGTATTGCAGCTGGAAATTCCATTATTGTTACAACACTACTAAGAGGCAACAAAAACTAGAGAGGATGATACATAAGAAACTTTTAATTTAGTACCTTATCACTGGTTCGTCAGCTGCTGATTTGACCCCGACTCCAAACACATCAGGCTTGCTGTGAATACAACCAGAGTAAATATGAGATAGTTCTTTGTTTAAAATCGTGACAGTAAATGACACAAAACACTAAATTATAAAAGAAAATAATTACCTGTTCATAATGTCCTCTCCATGCCAGTGAATCTATTGTTTGGTTGGTACATTAACACCAAATACTTTGTTAATCATCACAACATTTTGGCTACAAATGTGATAATGGGCAATAATGTTGCTGCTTTCTACTTGACAGAGAGAAAAAACATTTAGCCTATAAGCCATGTTTTTCCACCCACAACTCATTCAAACTGACTACTTCACTGCGGTGCACAACAGTAGGGTCTTGTTTATTTTTCTCAAACACCTACACAGTCTGAACAACATTTTACATAAACCAAAACTCGAATTATTGTTGTGCACAGTGCACAGTAAACAACAGTAAAATAACTCTGAGAGGAACTTAAATGAACTTCAACACGGTGTGTTGCTGAGAGACCATTCAAGTGCTAAAGCAGTCCACCAGCTTCTTTGAATTCCAGGACCCTGCGTGCTCGCTCAGGAACTGCTGCTTGACCAGATCTTTGACTGTCTGGTACACGACAGATTCCACCTATAAAACAAACCATTTACAACATCATGCATCACATCAGTCTGCAAACTGCAATGAAGCAAAGTCAAAAAACACTCACACTGAGCATACATGTGATCATCTATAGCTGACACACACCTTGGCATTGTGGTAGGTGGGAAGATTCAGCAGATAGCTATGCCCACTCAACTGTGCAACTCTGAGGAAGTAACTGTAGAGGGCTCTCTTGCAAAGTCTGCTGGAGAAGCCAGGCCCACTCACAGATGGAGAGCTGGGAAATACAACAGTGTTCCAATGAATGCTTTCCTTTACATGTATCAACTGTCAACTGTATTATATAGTAGTGCATTTCAAATATATTCATGTAAAAAAATCAAATAAAAACTTTGCTAAAAAGATGCAGAAATAACTTTTTAACCCTTAACATCCGACAACAAAACACAATGCCTGTTAAATGTATTTCAAATGGCAGCACCCCCCTCAGCAGGACAATGCGTCATGCCACACTGAAAAACAGCTCAAGGCTTCTACCTGACCTCCAAATTACCCAGATCCCAATCTAATGGAGTATCTGTGAGACGTGTCAGTACCCCAGAGGCACTCCGACCCATGGTGGTGCCTCCTTGGATTGGACTTGGCTCTTACCTGTCGAGGCATGAACACCTGGGGGTGTCCTGTGGTGTCTGGCACCAAGGCGTTGGCGGCAAATACTTTGAGTCCTGTGGGTTGGGAGATGGGGTAGCAACATGTCCTATGATGCTCCATTGTGTAGGGATCTGGCTAATTTGGAGGCCAGGTCGATGCCTTGAGCTCTTTGAGTGTTTGGGTGGGTGGCATGTGTCAAGTGGCATCCACATCCAAGGTTTTCCCAACAGGACATTGCATTGTAACGAGATGATCAATGTTCAACTCACTCTTTGGTGGTTTTAATATTTTAGCTAAACAGTGTATATTCCATGTTGTTAAACTACCCCCAAACCAAAATATTCTACTCCGGTGAGGGAGGCAGCTACGCTAAGCTAGCTTGTTGCAAGATGGTTAGTAATGCCATTACCAGACTAGAAATAGAAGATCCTCCAGGAAGCTATAAAAATGATGTTTGGAGCCACTTCAATTTTGCTGTGAATTATGAGGGTGATGGCGATAGAGAGCGGTGTACGGCACACATGAAGCCAAAGAATGAGCCACC